CAATTACGAGAAAAAAAGTTGAAGTTTTCAAAATGATGTGAAAAATAAAGTTGCAATTGTGAGAAATAAAGTCATAATTCTGAGGGGGAAAAAAGTTGCATATATGAGATATCATAATTACAAGAAATAAAGTAATTTCCAAAAAACAAAATTGTGAACTGTGAAGTCATATTGTTAGATATAAAGTTGCTATTATGAGTATACGGTGCATTTGCGAGAAATTCGCAATCACAGAAAAAGTGTCAATTGTGAGAGATAGTCGTAGTAGTTTTGCAGTTACTAGAAATAGATACATTTACAAGGAGCAGTCACAACTGTGAGAGATAGTTCCTATTACGAGAATAACTGCATTTTGGTAGTAGTCACAAGAAACAAAGTCACTATTGTGAGAGGAAAAGTTGCAATTATGAGAGATACAGGCAGTTGTGAAAGTTGCAATTGGTAGTCGCAATTCCAAAAAAAGACGCATTTACAAGAAATATTGGCATTTTTGTCATCATTTTGCAATTACGAGAAATAAATACATTTACATGAAAAAAGTCACATTTGTGAGAGGTAGTCGCAACTGTGAGAGATCGTTGCAATTTGAATAAATAAAGTTGCATATATAAGAAATAGTTGCATTTATGTGATAATTTTTTTATAAAATTCTTTTAGGACTGAATACACAACTCTTGCATTCACCTGCATCTCTCACAGGAAGTGGGCGCTCGTTCAGTTTTCAACTCCGTTCAGAATCTTAGAGTAAGTGTGCATTCACTATTTTACAGATGTTACTTTCATTTGATTTATTTGCTGGTACATATATGGTACACTATTTTTGCTATGTGGTAATTTCACACCTGACTGAAAGGCTCATTATGCAGCTCATTATGCAGGCCTAAGAAATAGTTGCATTTATTTGAAATGAATTTTGCAGTTACAAATAATGTATTTGCATTTACGAGAAAATAAACTCAAAATTGTAAGATATGAAGTTACATTGTGAGAGATAAAGTCACAATTACAAATCACAATTGTTTGAGAAAAATTGCAACTGTGTGAAATGTAGTCTCTAAAATTTCTAGATTAACTGCCTGACTTGTTTAACCATCACATTAAAAAAAATATGCATCTGTGTGTTTGTGATTGCCATATATTGGGCTGCAGGGAACTGCTTGTGATGATCTAAACTGCAATAATTTGCTCAGTTTTCCGTGTGTGTAAGAGAAGCCAGTGCAGGTCGGCTGGGTTAATAGGGACGCTGTCATATGTAACAGTACTGGACAGTGAGCAGCAGAGAAATGACAAACGCAGAGAGCAAATTAGAGTCCTTGCTGTCCCCTCTAGTTTGCTTCACACACACACACACACACACACCTGACACAGTGCAAGGTCAATGTCTTTTATTACGTTCAGGCTGGCCGTGGAGCATCTAAATGTGACACTCCAGCGAGAGCACACACACTTTGCAAATAACAGCTTAGCGTGCGGATTTGGATTAGCAGCTAGTGGCCGACATATTCATCATGTACACAAATCTAATTATGAGGGTAATTGCCTACAAGGGACTTTATTGGTCTCTTATAATGAGTCTATTGTCTGTCGGTGCAGGGTATCACACAGCTCTCTATTGATCAGTCATGAATACCGCTAAAGCTCATGCAACCATTAATATGGATATTTTTCAGGGCTCTGAATGACTGGGTCAGTGCCGTCGATAGTGTCGACCACGGTACAAAGCAGAAACGAGAGCCTCTTAACGCTTTGCATGTCTTGTATTTCTCCTTTTCTCTCTCACTGGCATATTTAATTACAGGAGTTTAATTGGAGAAGTCGACTCGGTGCCGTCTATAATTATGGCTCAGTCTTTCCAGGCTTTGTCGCATCGGGCCCCTTGAGCTCATATTCTCATCGCCGTAATTCAATTAGATCCTTCACTTAGAGCACGGAAGCCTCTCAAGCACCGTCACGGCACACTATACGCAGCTTTCAGAAATGCATAACTTTCATTTCTTTTTTTTCTTTTAATTCTATTAATAAATAAAGAAGAAAATCTGTGCAGGCGGAAATGAATGCACAGCTCTGTTGTGCATTTAAGACCGCACTGACCCTTGTAGCACATATACATATCCATGATGTCTATTCAGTATATGCTTTTTCATCTCAAAGTGACATTTTAAAGAATGTTTGTCAGTAGGTCCAAAACCACTTTCATTGTATAGACTATATATATATATATATATATATATATATATATACATACTGTTGTATATATACAGTTATATACGTGACTTTCTTGTAATTGTAAATCTATATAGCATACAACTATTTCTCGTAAATGCAACTTTATTTATTAGAATTGTGCCAATCTCTCACAGTTTTGAATGTTTCTTGTAATTTTAACTTTCTTGTAAATGTGTAATTGCAAATCTATATAGCATAAATACAACTATTTTTGGTAAATGCAATATTGTTTCTTATAATTGCAACTGTCTCTCACAATTTTGACTTTCAGTTTTCCGTGATTGTGACATTCTCATAAATGTAACATCATTGTCATAATAGCAATTTTTTTCTCATGATTTCAACTTTATATCTCATAATATGACTACATAACTCACAATTTTGTAATTGCGACATTATTTATTCTAATTAAATGCAACCAACAGTCATACAGGTTTGCAACGACATGAGGATGAGTGAATGATGACTATTTTTGGGTAAACTGTTCCTTTAAGATATTTTCACTGTTGTTATTCAGTTGTTTGTACACAAATATAAAACTTCAGCTACTTAAAATGGAGCACAGTGTATTCCAGATGAGGATGTGAATATGTATGCGTGCTTGCTGGGTAATTCTGAACTGTTTTACATTCAGGTAAGGTGTAGCTAATGTAGTCACAATGCTTTTTGAGGGCAAATAGTCAGACCTGATTCTTCAAGAAATGAAAGATGGAGGTCTTGGCTCACGTTGATGCCCTGGAACCTTATATACTCTTCAGAAGTTAAAATTCTAGTCATAGCGAAACCATTGTGATGAAAAATCTGTGGTGACGGAAAAAATACTGTGGCGGTGTGGCTTTGATATTTAGGCCTATCATGGCGTGGTACTGAATGATAGCAATATTTGCAATATTTACATGCTACTTGTTTGCGATATTCCTTGTTTCTAAGTCACTTCAGATAAAAGCATGAGTATATGTAAATGTCCTTTAAAGAATACACTGGTTTTGCCATGGTACATGTCCAAAAACATGGTAATATCATGGTAAAAGTACAACTAGTAATTGACAGATTTTGGATTGATTAGATAAACCAGGATTGTTATCATCTTCATTCTGTTGACTAAAGACAGATCGTCTCCCGAATGCCAGTGACGGAGTTGGTTGGTCACGCATTGGCCTGCTTTAAAAAGATGAAGTGAGAGCGAGTCAGAATAGAACAAAAGAGAAAATGGCCACATACACACTGTGAAGTTTTGGGTGTATTTAAAGGAATAGTTCACTCAAAAATGGAAAGTAGCTGAAAATTTGCTCACTCTCAGGCCATTCAAGATGTACAGTAGATGGGTTTGTTTCTTCATCGGAAAAGATTGGGTGAAATTTAGCATTACATAGCTTGCTCACTAATGGATCTTTGGTCACGCATTGGCCTGCTTTAAAAAGATGAAGAGGAGGTGGTACAACAGAAGGGGAATGTGTGTTTGTTGGAACAAGAATGAAATCGTGTCAGTACTGTGTGTTCCCAAGACAGCATGTTCACCATTTTAGGACGACATTGTGAGGAATATGAGCGCTTTGGATTATTGTAATGGCTATTGTTTTAATGTAATTTTATATTGAGAGTTGGGAAAGTAGGTCAGAGAACTTGATCTCATAGCATGAATCTCAGCCCACACATACATGCAGCTCTTCCCACCACATGCGAACAGTCATTTTTTAAGATCAAGTTAAAAGTTTCAGGCTTTATGAGGAATAAAGCCTGGGGTCAAATGTAGAAAAAAAAAAGCTTTTCACAAAATTGGAGAGAGATTGTTTGCCCCATGCTATATGATTCTCTAGTGCCCCCTAGTGCTGTCATCTGTTTCTTTTCACCAAACAAAATGACCTGAGTTGGTAAAAATTAAGGAGAGGTGTGTTGCTGACAAAAGCAAAATTTTAAAACCTGCTTGTAAAGATCACAAATATTTATGCAGTTTCAATGCAGGGTCACGGACATGGCATTTTTTGCCTGAAACTATTATACAATCCAAAATACATTATAAAGCAATGACTTGAATACATATATTCTACGATGAAGATTTCCAAGTTTTTATTACATTTTATGAAATTATTTATTAAAAATATTAATTATTACAATTGTGATTTGAAATAAGGCTTAAAAAGTCTTGCAAGTCTTGAATTTAAAACTTTTATAATCGTTTATAATCTCTGGTATAATAGTTTAGTAATATTTTTATATTAAAAAATAAGCAGTTTTGTCTTAAAATATATTTGGAAAAACTTTGGAAAATTACATTTAAATTAGTGTCGTACTTATACATGCAAGAACCCATTTTGTTGTCATCTGAATGAATAAGAAAGATCAGATGTTGTAACCTTTGAAAAAAAGGTTTGAAGAATAAAGAAAAGGAAGAAAAAATCCCAACCAAAAAAAAATTTTAAATTAAAAAAGGTTGTATAGACTGGTATTCATGATTTTTTTTTTTTTTTTAAAGACCATAATGCCCTGATAATTTGATTACAAACAAACAAATAAATAATAAACAAAACTGATTTTGAACTTTAATATATTTAGATAAGTCGTCAAAGTGTAAAGAGAATATATTAGTAATTTTTAGTTGATGGTTACACCACTTGAGGTTTTACGAGCAACATCTTTGTGTTTTTGTATTTCTTTCAACTATATATTTATTAAAAGATTTCTGGTTTTCATTGTTTGATTTGTCACTGGACCATTGCCACTGACCCCTATGTTCTGACTCTCTTTTTTTCTCTCTCTTTTTTTATGTGCTACAGATATGGAGATATGGTTCCTAAGACCATCATAGGGAAGATCGTTGGCTCTGTTTGTTCTCTGAGTGGCGTGTTGGTGATCGCTCTTCCCGTCCCCGTCATTGTGTCCAATTTCAGTCGGATCTACCATCAAAGTCAGCGCGCTGAGAAGCGACGAGCCCAAAAGGTACCCTAGATGGGCCACCCATGACCCCAGCATGGGTCCGCGGCCTCTGATCTCAGAGCTATACGGAGCTGGGCTCAAATGTAGATGTTCTCTTGAAATACAAGCAGGTCTGGCTGTGGCAAAGAGATTAGACCCTGACAGGACCATGTACACACAAATACAGAAAAATTATGCTGGGATAGTATTTAATACAACTTGGCACAATGTGCTTGTGACCCAGATGTCTGCACGCTGAGTGGTGTGTGTCTCTGTGGTATGATAACTGCTGGATCTTCTGCAGTGAATGGGTGCCGTCAGACTGAGAGTCCAAACAGCTGATAAAAACATCACAATAATCCTCAAGTAATTCACACAACTCCAGCCCATCAATTATTGCATTGTAAAGTGTAATCTGTGTGTTTGTAGAAAACAAATCCATCATTAAGGCATTTTTACTTCAAACTCTTGCTTCTGGCCAAAATATCAATCCATAATCCATAGCAACACTGTCCTGAAAAAGTCCATCCGCCATTGTCCTCTCACATCAGAATCCACTGATATATTTGTTTGAACTCATTTCGGACAGTTTTCTCTTGTAAACAGGGGTTGGTCTGTGCATATTTCTCTCTTGATTCAGACAAGACAGATTTTTTTTTACTGGAGAAAGAATGTTATGGATAGAAGACTTGTATTTTAGCCAGAAGCAACGGTTTGAAGTGAAAAGTGTCTTGATGAATTTATTTCTTACAAACATGCAGCTTTTCACTTCATAAAATGTTAATTGATGGACTGGAGTTGTGTGGATTACTTGTGGATTATTGTGATGTTTTTATCAACTCTCATTCTGACGGCACCCATTCACTGCAGAGGATCCATTGGTGAGCAAGTGATGTAATGTTAAATTTCTCCAAATCTGTTCTGATGAAGAAACACGCTCATCTACTGTATGTCTTGGATGGCCTGAGGGCTGGCTTTTTGAGTGAACTATTCCTTTAAAAGTAAATGTCCTCAAATTAATTTCATTGGGTTTGCTCTTATCGTAACTTTGATGTTTGAATAGGCAGCAAGTGGAATGCGGCTACGCTCCAATCAGTGATGATGAAATTTGCATATCCTGATGCTTAGCTTCAGGATTATTTAAAAGAAATTATTCAATTAATTCCGAAACCTCAATTAATCTGATTACTTTAGCAATTAAATTTAAATGTAAGTTTTACAGCCCATCTGCACAGCGACTGCCATTATAATCAATGAAGCTGTCCACATGCACACACTACATTTATAGTCGATTCATTAGCCTGCGGTTTAGACGTCTGAATTTATTATGGCAGGAGTGTTGTGATCTGTCATTACATCTGTCATGAGTATTCCTGCCGTAAATCATAATTCCATGTCCGTATGGAAAACAGGAGTCACTTCTGAACTTGCAGTAATTGACAGAGTGGATTAAACTTTTTCTTGTTAGTGAAGGTTAGCAACATTTGTCTGTTTAGTAAAGCACATTCGACTGTTTATGCTCATAAGCCGTTTATACCAGTTTTGTACATACTATGCAATTACTTGGTCATCATCAAACTTATAAATGACGTAACTATGTACAGAACAAAATTGAACACTAATAAGGAGTCACGACTGTTTTTAGCTACAGTGTGTACGTGGCCAATGAGACCAAGCACAGGAAGAACAGATGCTGTGTTCTGTAGCCAGTTCTCCTCTGGGGGTGATCAGAATACGCAGACGTTGTGGCATCACATCATATCGCATTAGATGAGTGTCTTCTCTTAATTTAGCTGTTCGACTCCAGCCACCCCATGGGAGACACAAACAGTTCAGATATCCCACTCCCCCTGTGCGCAACACACACACACAGATAAACAGTTCAACCAGTCCACCCAAGAACAACAGTCTGTTTTTCAGTTAACTAGGACTGAGAATGAGAGCAGGAGAGGGAGAAGTGAGAAAGGATATTAGGGTTGTAACAATACCAAAATTTCAGTTGTCGATACCAGTACCATTTAAATGTTATGTTATTTAGGCAAAAATGTAAATATTTTTTTTTAAATGTTCATATTTTAATGATTAAAATTGTATTGTTTTGTATTGATTTTAATGATTATTTATAGCTGTCTTAAAGATCTGATATTTTGACACAAATGCAGGTTTTTGGTCTGACAATTTATGTTGAGATATAAAGAGAAAAGCCTGAAAAGACTGAAAATCAAGAATGAAAAACTTTGCCTTGAGTAATTTGACAATATTTTAATTTAATTGTATTATTTTATCTAATAATTAGTATGCTGTTTTATTATTTAATGGTATTATAGTAAGATGTTGCATTTATTTGATCACAGTACAGTAAAAATAGTAATATTGTGAAATATTATTACAATTTTAAAATAACTGTTTTATATTAATATATTTTAAAATTTAATTTATTCCAAATCTGACTTTTCAGCATCGTTACTCCCGTATTCAGTGTCACATGATCCTTCAGAAATCATTCTAATATGCTGATTTGGTGCTCAAGAAATGTTTCTGATAATCAGTTTTGAAAACTGAAACAGAATATTTTTGTGGAAACCATGATACACTTTTTTCAGGATTCTTTGATGAATAGAAACTTTAAAAAAAATAGCTTTTATTGGAAATAGAAATCTTTTGTAACTTTATAAATATCTTATCTGTCACTTTTGGGCAATTTAATGCATCCTTTATATATGGTGTCAAAATATCAGCTCTTTGCGATATAAACCCAGCTACATTATAGAAAGACTGGTGTTGTTACAATTTTTTTTATTGTAGTATCAAAGCCCTTTTGGCATCCCTTTTAGAGAGGAGCACATTGCTATTCTTCATGTCAGACATGAGCATGCAAACCTCCAGTCACACCACGATCACATTCACACTCACATTGACCACGAGAAGAGAAAGTGTTAGGCTAAACGCCCGTGTGTTTGTCCACCTGAACAGAAAACCAGGCTTGCTAGAATTCATGCGGCGAAGAGCGGTGGCGCTAACGCTTATTTGCAGTACAAACGAAATGGGATGCTGGCGGAAGCGGAGGAGGAGGTAACTGTGGACACCAAGTCGCCGGGGTCTCTCTAAATGGAACATGACATGATGGGCTGGTGCATGTGAAACCCCTCTTCCCCCATGGCGGTTCACCTCTCCGCCAGGGGGCCAGGGTCCAGCAGGGCTGCTGTCCCCATTCAACGCTTCCGTGGTGTTCCTCTAACTCTTTCTCTCTGTCTTTCGCTCTTTCTCACGCCTAGACCGGGTGCACCGGCACCTCTTCCTGGTGGCTGGTCATGAGAAAATAATTGTGTGACCTCTTGTCCAATGGCAGTGCGGTGCATGCGGCTTGGCCTTGCGGGGGCCACGGCCAATCCGCTCCAGTACCAACGGGGCCCCCCTGTTTTTGACTGCAACCCTTTTCTCCATCTCTCAACTACTTTGCTTTTGGGTTTATTACCTTTTGTATTTTGTCTACTTGTTGTTTTAACTGCTTTTTTCGACAACTACTACTCTTGTGCTCCATGCATTTTTTAACATGCATTTTTGAGTGATTTTCTCACGCCTGTCCGGACTGGCCTGTGCTCGCTCTCTATCTCTCTGTCTTCATGACATCATCAGAACACATCACATGGAGGAATGAAACTGTCTGAGCTGCATGTCATTGTTTGGCCAACATCTAAATGGGAGGCGGGGTTTAATGTGAGGCAGAGACCACGGGGCATGTCAATCCAGTGCCTGTTGACTATACGCGGGCTCTCGATAAATAGCGCCCTAGTCCAGGGGTGTTCCATTCTGCTCCTAAAGGGCCACTATCCTGCAAAATTTAGCTCCAATCCAATACACCTGAACCAGCTAATTAAAGGGTTAGTTCACCCAAAAATTAAAATTGTCATTAATTACTCACCCTCATGTCGTTCCAAACCCGTAAGACCTTCATTCATCTTCGGAACACAAATTAGGATATTTTTGATGAAATTTCAGATTCTGATGAAAAGATCAGATTCTGAAGTGCGTATCCAGTGGACATTATAGTATCCCATGAGGACAGTTTTTGTCCCTTGTTGTAATTGCAAACACGTTCTGGGTTGAGGGGTGGTGTTTCCCCCCAGTTGAACTTACTTTTGTTTCGATCCTCTCTGATCAGGGCCCTTGGAATTGTCCTAACCTTCCTCCTGTTATGGAGCCTCTGTTCATACTATATAGAAGAGGCATTCACAACTCTGCCCCTCGAGGTCCACTTTCCTGCAGAGTTTAGCTCCAACCTTGATCAAATTCACCCAAACAAGTCAATCAAGGTCTTCAGGATTACTAGAAAGTTACAGGCAGGTGAGTTTGATCAAGGTTGGCACTAAACTCTGCAGGAAAGTGGAAAGAACTACCTACTCAGAGAGTATATGATTTTGGAGCCAGCAATGTTCTTCAAGAATACTAGAAACTTCCAGGCAAATATGTTGGAGCTAAAATTTGCAGGACATTGGCCCTCCAGAAGCAGGATTGGGCTCTCTTGCTCTAGTCGTCTGGTCACTGCGTCATGCTGATTCATTAAGGCTCTAGTGAGTTTGGGTATGGGGGCCGTCATGGTTCAAATACAGAAGACGTGTAACTTTTCCACATACTTTTTTCCAATAATTAGTATCTCCTGAATATAAGTTCAATAGCCATTGACACACACAGAATACTCTTGTTCCTGTTGTCTGCTGTTTTTGAACCAAGAGCCATCCGCCAAGTTGTGATGTTGAGAGAACAGGACGTGGCAGTGACCTAGAGCCTACTGTTGTCACAATGAACTAGCCAAACGTTCTTCAAGATTGTCTCAATGTTGCTAGACCATTGTGAGAATTCGGGCCTTGCTGTCTTGTCTTTTCTCTCAGTTTCTTTCTGCGCCGATAGGTTGATAAGCTGTTTTTTCTGTTTCTCCAATAAGGCATCAAAACAGGCCGGCCAAGCTTTGGTATGTAAGTCCAACCCCACTTTTGAGACCCAGCATCACCATCTTCTGCACTGCTTGGAGAAAACCACGGTAAGAACCTCTGGAGAAAACTTTACACATAACTGGAAGCTGTTCTCAGCAATTTAGCTTTGGCATAACTTGATATTATTGATATACTGGTGTCCTAGGAAGCATGCTAAGCACATCTGTAAAAAACATTATGAGGTTCTTCTACGATTTCTCAACTGTTTTCTTTAGTACCTTCAATAGGTTCAGCAGTTACAGATCAGGTGTCCATATCGACTGTGTTTAGACTGATAGTTCACACGAAAATGAAAATTGCGTTAGCATTTATTCAGCTGCATGTTGGATCACAAAAGGAGAAGTTTGGCAGAATGTCCCAGGTGCAAGAACTGCAGAGCTCCAAGAAAAGCACCATAAAAGTATTTAATACCTTTTAGTGCAATTTTCAAGGTTTTTCTTAAACAAAAAGGCCACGTTTTCTAAAAATAGCTTTGTGCAAGGAACAGCCTGAGTCCGTTATTAGCTGCAAAACCTGGCATGATGTGTTGGCTTATGAAATGATAACCATAACTGACATTAATTGTTTGTTTGTTTTTTGTTTTGTGTGTG